GCTGCACTTTATGCAAATAATAAAACTATTTTTTGCAAAGAAAAAAACTTGGTCCTACTATGATATGTCTTTAGTAAAAATAGAGAACTAGAGACAGAAAATTCCATTTCAGAAGAAACTATAGTACACCCATTTTTAAATTCTCTTGTTCATTATTCTAAGTTTATATTATTTTCTACAATTAAGCCTGCATCCTGAATTCTTTCCTGGCTGTGAGTGTCCAGACTAACATTTCAATTTTTCTTCAGATTTTCTGACTTGGCTGATGTGTGGATTTCAAAGAGAATTCACCTGAATGCCTGGTACAAACTACAATCCAAAAGAATCTGTCAGATTGCCACTACAACCTGAGGACGCATCAGAAACTCTAGAAGCTAATTTATAAACAAATCCAGACATTAACCTTTCTTTTTCTTCTGTCTCCATAGAAATGTCTCTTTTATTTTTTTTTTTTTTTTTTTTTTGAGTTGGAGTCTCACTCGGTCACCCAGACTGGAGTGCAGTGGCCGCTTCTGGCCACCACAGCCTCGACCTGCTGGGCTCCAGCAATCCTTCTGCCTCAGCCTTACAAGTAGCCGGAATTACAGGCATATGCTACCATGCCCAGCTGATTTTTTGATTTATTGTAGAGATGAGGTCTCGCTGCCCAGGCGGGTCTCGAACCCACGGGCTCAGGCAATCCACTCACCTCAGCCTCCCAAAGGCGCGGGATTACAGGCTGAGCCACCGAGCCCGACTAGAAATGTCTCTTATTAAAGATCTGCTTGTCTACATCATCTATAGAAAACCAGCCCACCTACAATACCACCTTCAAAAATGAGACATAACTGTTCAATGGGACTGGCATAAGTGGAATACTTTCGTTTGTTATCCTTTGCTACTCAGCTTTTAACTCAGTTTCTCTCTTTCACAGCCACTAACTTAACTTTTCTTTTTCTTTAACTTTTAAATTTTTTATTTTAAAATTGTGGGGTACAATTCAGGGTTAGGTATACAAATACTCATTATGCAGGTACACTTGTTGATGAGGTGTGCCCCCCGCCAGGCAGATTCTGACTACTGCCAATCCTCCCTCCCTGCCCCTCCCCCCACCTCCACAGTTTCCCACTACTGTCAATCCTTTTCTTATAGTATTACGATAGTTGTTCAAGGTTCACTAATGAGTGAGAACATGTGATACTCAGTTTTTTGTTTCTGTGAAAGATCACTCAGTATTATAGACTCTAAGTCCATCCAGGTTGCTGCGAAGTTAATGATTTTGTTCTTCTTTATGGTTGTGTAATATTCCATTGTGCAACTTAGCTTTTAATATGTGAAACTTCTAGGGACTTGCTGCACTTATATAAATGTTACTGGAAAAGTTGAAAAAGATTTAAAGAAAATTTATAAGACTAGTTGACTCCATGGTTTTGGAAAAGGAGCTCTGTTACAAATTCTGTTTGGGACACCATTAAGAAATCTATGCCTTCTTTTGCTTGGGCTATTGCTTTTATTTCATCTATTGTGATGATCATATTGCTGTTGATTTTTGGTTCATGTCTTTTTAACTGCATGGTTAAATTATCTTCTTCAAGAATCAGACAATTTCATGTTTATGTGATGATCATGCAAGGATTCCAACCAGTGCCTGCAATCAATACCACCATTAAGACCAACCCGAACACATTAGATCAGATGGGGGAGTTTTTCCAACCCTGAAGAAGTTACAGAAGATTAACTTTCCTCCCTCAGATCTCCATATGATTATGGGATCAAAATCTCTGAGAGGGGGTTGTTGAGGCAGACACAGCAAGCATAGTTTAAATATAGATAGATGAGTTTTTTGTAGGCAGGCATGGCTTGGATAGTTAGGGAACCAGATGGTCAGTATCCAGATGCCTTCTTATCAGAACACAACTCTCTTGAAAAACACCCACACTGACCAAGCCCATCAGACCCAACCTTGGCGTGTGGAGCGGTTGGCACAGTCAGTCACAAAGACAATAAACAAAGGCAATAGGGAGCTTACCAGAGGCACTGAGGCACAACATTCTAAAAGAAAAGCTAATTAAACAATTACTTTCCTCATCATCTCAAGAATTTTTTGTGACATGAGCAAACTTAGAAGTTAAACAATAAGAATGGAAACTTGTGATCAATAGCTTGTAGGCCACAAATCTTAGCTTGGCAAATAGGTTGCTTACTCATCATTTTAACACAATATATAAAGTAATTAACAAAGTATGGTATCTCCATAAAGTGGTAAACTATGACAAAATAAAAGACAACTACTGATACAAGGTAAAATGTAGACAAATATCAAAAATATACTGAATGAAAGAAGCTTTACACACACTGAAAAGACTAATTGTTATGAATCTCCAGAAGAGACAAACCTAATCTACAGTTAGTACAAAGGAGGTCACAGATTGCCAGGACTGGGGAAGTTGACTAAAACAGCACACATAACTTTCTGGAATAACGTAAATGTTTTATCCCTTCATAAAGAGGTGATTATATGGGTGAATACATTTGACCAAATTTATGTGAATCTACCCTTACTGTGGTTGCATTCTATTGTTTGTAATTACGCTTCAGTAAAATTGACTAAAAATATAAACAACTTAACATTTTCAAATGTTTATATGCTTTTAAAAAAATTAAGCTTTACAAAAGAGTTTAACAGGTTAAAAAGCATTTTACAGCCATGATTTTATTGTTCTTCACAAGCACATAAGATAGTGTTTATTTTTTTAATTCTACTTTACTGAGAAGCTAACTCTCAAAGATTAAGGGGTCTGCCCATGGCTTATGGTGAACAATCAGGTCACATCTATGCTTTTGAATTTCAAAATTCCTTCCACTAAACAATGCTGTTCATTAACCTATTGCCTGCTCCTTCCCCCATAATTTCAGAGTATTATACAAATTACAATTAATCTTACTTTAAAATATATCTATTATATATTAAAAATAACTACAAAGGCATACAGAGTATATAACATTTTATTTCCCTAAAGTTGGTTAATTTCTATAAAACTGGCATATTTTTGACAGAATGACTTTTCTAGAATTACACGATTTCTTTTCAGTTCTTTCACACATTAAAATTACCAAAAGGGAGCATGAGAAGTAATCAAGAGTAGAAATTCAAAACTTGTATATAACAAATAAGTTAGCTGGAGTCCATATATTGAATAATGCTTGTCGATGATCAAAAGGTCAGTACAGATCAAGGATACATAATGTGAAAATCTGAAATGCTTCAAAATCTGAAACTTTTTGAGCACTGACATGAGATAGTAACACCTTTGCTTTTCTGCACGCAAACTCTGTTTCATGTGTAAAATTCTTTAAAATATTGCATAAAGTTACCTTCTGACTATGTGTATTAGTTATATATGAAACATAAATGAATTTTGAGTTTAGACTTGGGTCACATCCCTCAACTCTCTCATTATACATAAGCAAATTTTCCAAAATCCAAAAAAAATCTGAAATTCAAAACACTTCAAGTAGATTGCCTGAGCCCACCGGTTCAAGACCAGCCCAGGCAATTTGGCGAGATCTCATCTCTACAAATAAACCAAAAGTTAGCCAGGCGCGGTAGTACGCGCCTGTAGTTCCAACTACTTGGAAGGCTGAGGTGGAAGACTCGCCTGAGCCCAGCAGGTGGACACTGGGGTGGCCGTGAGCGTGCCACGGCACTCCAGCCTGAGAGACAGAG